GCGCGCGTACTATTTGAATTATTTTATAAAATTAAGTTAGAGTCCACTAATGACACTAAGATCATAAAGTATAAAAGTCAGAAGTACTGGTGAATAGTGCACAGAGACAGAACAAGTTCTTGCCAACATATATGTCGATTTCAAGTCTTGCAACCGTCAACAGTACTAAAGGCCTACAATCGGCGATAGTAATGTTGACACATTGAATCCTCCAATCCCATATTACTTCAATTTAATCTCTTTTGCCCTTTTTATGGGGGATGGGGGTCTTGTCAATAGTTTAGGGTATGTTAGAAACGAGTGTGATTCTACACATTGATAGATTCTGAACTCTTCAAAATGATGTGTCAACTAATTTTGACGCTGATTGTTGTCGTTGATTGCCTCGCACCTGTAACGAAGCGAACACGTTTATACTCTAGGAATCAAAGCCAGAAAAAGTATTAGGTTTAATCCATAGAAAATTGGTCTCTTCGAATCCCGAGGCTTTCTCGGCGATATATAATCATCCTGTGCGTTCTGTGGTGAAATGTGCAGCCTTGGTCTGGAATCGTCATCCAAAGACATGGTTCTGTCGGCAAAAGTCGAAAGAAGAGCTTCCTTGTCAGAAACAGTTATGATGACAAACAAAAAGCGCCCGAAAAAACTGAACGTGCGGACAGACTTATCCTCTTAAACACAGACTTATCCTCTCCCTCTTGGTAGATAGTATATGGCGTAAATTAATTCAGTTATTATTCAGAGTTTTCTTGGTTAAACTAAGTTTCACTAACCTGGTTATCACAGTTTGACCATCGCTTCTGACATCTCGTTCTAAAGACAAAAGTCTCAGTCCACTGTGTAATGTAATAGCTATTTCAATTTAATATAGGTTTTTCCATGCATTTAGGAATGCCATTTCAAAATAAAATAAAAAAATCAAGAGTCAGACGTAACGTTTAGAGTTTGCTTCTCCTGTATCCGTGCTTGCTTTCCCTTTTTGACGTAAGTAACTAGTCGTAGCTGGTCGTGAGCTAATAAAAAAGCTGACACCAAAGGATGATTTAAATCACTGCACATCGATTGTTGAACCGTTTGCATTTTGAACGTTCAGTTTAAGTGCTAGTGAAGCATGATTAAACATTATTGTTCGGCTGATTATCAGATTTGTTCGATAGGGTTGAAATCTTCTTTAAACCTCTGCGGAAAGTTTTAAGGTTAGAGGAAGTCTTCCATGTGCCGGGAAAACCACACTGAACTCTTCCAACTCCAAATTTTGGTTGGAGCCTCTTCTTCCGCCAAGTGAAGACAACTTCTTGATTTTCTTCAATTTAATTTGTTTTCAAATCACATTCGCCTCGACAGTCTGAAAGCATCTCGCAGAATGTTTCCTTAGAGAGTTCAAAGCGCCTGTTTAATAATCGAGTGTAAATTGGGGCTGAGAAGCCTACTCGACTTCGTAGTACTTTAGGTTTTCTGTATATTTATTTTAAATGTTAAAAGGCTCACACGGCTCCAAAGTATGTCGGTTTTCTTGCCTTAATTATAATTTTGCTCTTACGAAATTTTAAAAATTTGCCAGATAAGTGTTTTTGACTGAATAATACCTAGTAATGAAAAACAAACCATCGCCTTCTTTATTTCTGCTTCCCGCCCCCATATAGATCCCGCTGCCTGCCCCTCGTTCTCTCGCTTCCCGCCCTCTCCTGCCCCCTGTTCTCCCGGGCTCCCGCCTCCCTGTCTCCCTCCACTGTTGTTGATAGTAATTTCGCTAAGGCTTTCCATTAATAAGTCTTCCATATGCTAGATATAAATTACAAGATTCCGACAGAACGCGCATGCTACTTTTGGATAGGAAAGCAAAGGAAAGTTTAAAACTTTTCGATGAAATTTGTCTGTTTTTCTTTTTAAAGTTGTGTCCCTTTATCGCAGATCTCCGCCACCCTTAAATATAAAATGACTCATACATTGAGCCTCAAGTCATTGTTGATGCACTAGGACAGATTTAGCCTACCATCACTCCTCTGTAAATGAATTTATTATCCTCAGTAAAGTTAGCAAATCCAGCGAATCGATCAGAGTCGCTTAGCTGACGCATGAATTTCTCTGAGTCGCCCTTAATGGTTCTAAAGTTGTAAGATTGACGCCGTTCATCTGCACTCTCCGAATGACAAGAAATTTCCAAATCAACTTCCATTTCTCTTATAACGCTTCCGTTCAGCTTTTGTTCTTCTATCTTGTTTGCAAATCTAACCGCTCTCAGATCTGGCTCTGAAATACGGCTTATGCCGTACATAACAGCACAAAGAAGAAATAACAGACAGAGATGCATTTTTAATTTTCACCGTCAGAAAGTTTATGATGAAAAGGAATGAATGTTTCTTTTAATTACTATTGCCTAACCAAGCCATTAGGTAAAGGAAATTTCCAGAATGAAAAAAGAATACACCATATAATTTAACATTTTGCAGGTTTTTTGGGTATATAGTAGTCTTCATCAAATGTTAAGTCATTTTACAATTCTGTAAGTAAAATTTTGTGAGGGCCTCCTTATCAACAGAGCATTAGCTTTCTTTCAGAGCCACCCTTTTTAAACACTATTATTTTAATTTATTTTATCATTATGTTACTGTACTTGTATCAAAACTCTGTCAAATTGCATGATATAACAGCCCTCAGATCTGGCTCTGAAATAAGACTTATGCCGCACGCAAAGGCACAAATAAAATATATTTTACAGAGATGTATGTTTATTCTTCACCTTGAGAAAGTTTGTGATGAAGAATAATTAATTTTTTTTTCTTTTTTATTGCCTAGGTAAGCAGGTGTAAGGAAATTGTCAGAATTAAAAACAGTATAAGTAAAAGGATATGCTTTTTAAGGTGACCATCTGCTTAGTCCTGTTGACTTGGTGGTATCTAATTCCTTTCAAGTTGCATTAGGCTGCCGATATCTCTCATGAAGTGAGGGTTGGTTCATTTTTTTTCTTATGCAGAGAGCCTGAGTGAAGCATATAATTAGTTAGTTTATTTATATTCTCAGCCAGATAAAGAACTTTTAAATTTTCTTAAGCCATTTTTGCTGTATATATTGTTTTTAATAATTTCTGAGAAAATATGACTTTTTCTTCATCAAATTAAAAAGCATTTAGAATGGATTCATGTTCACTCGCAGAGGAAAACCGGAGTTTGAATATGTTTATTGTCAGAAAAATCAATGAGGAAGGTGAAAGAGTAATAAAAAAAATTTTTGATGTAGGAGTGTGCTTTACAAAATGTGGAATGCTTTTAAGCCAGTGGCTAATTAAGGCCTGTTTAAATGGCCCATCAGTTCTATAAACGCGGGCCGCTGGCACTCTGTCAAAGCTTTCTGTGTTTCCTATATTTCCCTGAGGCTATTTTGCTTTTGAGCGCTCATTTTTCTTATACTTCATGTCACGTGCTTTATTGAGACACAGAGTGATGAAAACATAGGTGAACATGTAACCACGAGTCTTTAATCATAATTCATATTTTCGCTCTCGTTTATTTTACTAACTAATTTTCTCACGTTTCTTTATCAAGTTACATCCGGCTACAGATCGGTGATACCCAACTGTTTATCTTTCTGGCCAGATATGAGAGCATTTAAACTGAACTCCAAAATAAGCGCAATTGCGGTACCAGTTGTTTGCATTTATTGATAAGTTTACTCTCATTTGGAGGTTGCACATTTTACCACAGAAATTATTTGAACCGCAACAAAGCAGACAAAACAACTTCTTAGGATGGTTCTTAAATCAAGAGTCAGAAAGAAATGTTCTATGGACGACTATGTCAGAAGAAGTTAAAACAACTCAATTAAAATCCTGACTGCACATAATGAATTCATCGAAAATTGTTTCTCCTGGGGTTCTTCTTTTAGTCTGAAATTTAAAAATTTGAAGAATGATGATCTCCTCTAGCGATTCGGTTCATCCATAACTTTTTTATTCACATGCGAGGTGATAAGGAAGCAACACAACAATCATAATTGTAATCATGATATTGCTTATTAGACAATCAGGTACAGAAGATAGAATAAGTCTCTTGGAAAAGCAAGTAATGGATCATGAACGATTTAAGTTTCAAGTTTTGAGTTCATCTTTGAAGTTTATTAGAGCCAGCTTACACCATAATAATGTAAATAAGAATGTGGATACGTCATATGTCCTTGCTAACAGTTTTATAATTATTTTAAAAAAGATAATGCTGTACATCAGAATTTGCGATCCCCCTTGTTCAGCAAATGGGTCTGAAGTTATTACATGACGGCTGAAGTTGTCCTTCGGTGGCATGTTTATTAAATGGAGGATTCGATGGAGACCTTGAGTTCCTTTATTTTGCTTTTATACTAAGATCCCCATTGCAAGTTTTTTTATCATTTTAACTTTGTGACTAAATTCAATGATATTGCTAGAAGTTTCGGTTAAAGCTAAATTCCTGGTTGTACATCGTTACCTTAGCAAGAGAGTTTCATTTATCTCTTGGAGAAAAAAAACGTAGAAAGAGAACTAGAGCTAAGTTAAGGGAAGAAGTTTCGTGGTAAGTAAGATGAGATTTCCAATCAATTTTAGTCAACTTTATTTGAGCCCTTGAGGAGATGTTTGACTTGCAATGTTAACCTTGCGAGCCAAGCAATTACTATCAAGATGTCAAAAATTTTAGAAAAGAGTTGAAAAAGAGCCTTTAGCTGAAGTTTAAAGTTTCATCTCATTCGGATGAGTATGAAGAACGTGGTCCTTTGAGGAACAAATCGCTCAGATTGAGCAACTTGCATAATTTGTACCATGAGGCTCTCCTGATGAAATACACACCACTTTCATCCTTTACTATCGTGATCCTTGAAAGAAAAACACAGATCACCGACAGAAAATTGCGAACACGATCAATTTATTTTATTTTCCCGAAAATTGAACTAGTTGTTGACAGCAGATGACCATTTAATCGAATCTCGAAGTGTTACTACTACACAGAGTAATTGTTAATTTGTTGAAAGGAAGTTTATTTTTTGCTTTTGAATTTCATCTCAGTTCGTTTTAGTGAATAGTAATGGCCTTTAAAATAAGACCAGTTGACTCCATCAGCATAGGAAGCATGTGCACCATTGAGGTACAATCCGTTCAGATTGGATGCGTGACAGTTCTTGTACCACCACGCACCCTTGAAGACTTGGGCGCAGTTGTTACCACGTCTATCATTATCATGATCTTTCGTAGTAAATTGCATATTACTGAAAAGAAAATTACAAATGAGGTTAATTTCTTTGCGTGTGTCTTAGGTAAATTATCTAACCATATAACGTCTGGGGCACGTTGGGAACAGTTTAAATAGAGAAGTGGAACGAACAGGAAGGCAAGAAGACATGCTCAAAGAAATAAATGTGCAAAATGATAGGTGATTGTATAGAAGGAGAGACAGTCAGGTGACAAACAGACAATCAGACGGACGGACAGACAAACAGACACGCAGGCAGATGGGTAGGCAGGCACACACAAACAAACACGCAAGCAGCCGGGGAGACTGGCATTAGATTATGGAAAACCATGGAAAATAATTATAAGTGAGATTAAAGTTTGCAAGGTGTGCTGCCCTCATTATCCTGTCTTCAGCAATTTAAGCTCTAGTTTTCCGGTGCAAGGGTCCCCATCAACACAAAGAACGTAGAAGGAAAACGTTCCCAGACTTTGTAAATCTGAAACCAAATTAAAGTTCTTGGTCCTGTTCCTGGCAGTCTTACCTCGTTTTCGGCCAAAGCGAGAGAGAGAGGAGTAGAAGTTAAACTTATGCTTTCCAATTTTAATAGTAATACAATTAAACAGTAAATGGTCTGAGCTCACGCGCAAAAGTTAAATGTGAAGTCTGATCGTCTGGATACAGCAAACCAGTAAAGAGGTCAGCCCCAGGTTGACAGAAAGGTTGCGTTATAAAATATACTTGTACAGATGACGGAGCCCTCTCTAATTTCAGTTCAGTCCTAAAAAACCATTTCTGCTTACTTATGTCTATTGGTCTGCGTCACAGCCGTGCCACTGTATCCTCCAATCAAAAGCCTGTATTTATCTGCCTCACTTGCCACCTTAAAAGTCGTGTACTCAGCGTACTTGATGTTTTCATCAAAGTCTTCCAGGTCAACTCTGAGCTTGACGTCTTCAGCAGCAGTCAAACGGTGAAGATTGTCGTTTTCAGGTAACTCTCTGTTCAGATTTCCAAATCCTCTTTTGTAGGATTCCCATCCAAGATAGAAGTCAACGGAGCCATCCAAACGTCTCTGAAAAACGGTCCAACCCCCACCATCGGTATCCATGTCACATAACACTTGAATTGGTTTGCCGCCATCTGGATTAATGGTGTACTCGCCACTGGAATTATAACCATCTTGAAGCAGTTGCGTACAGCTCTTGGGCCCTATTTGTCATATGAAAAAGTAAAAGGACACATTTTTCGTGCAAGAAATCAGGTCAAGGATCAAATAGAACGATTTTCAAGTGAGTAATCACAGGTAATCCTGGACTGTTTTGTTTTTCTTTACTGCGACCCACTTTCTCAACCAATTAGGGCTCAGTTGTTAAAAAAGCAGATAACACCTTCTTAGAGATAAATCGCTATCCATTGGATAGGTGTTTAAAAAAAAAAAAGTTCTGCGCTATTCGCCGGACAACGACTTATCCAGTGGATGGCATTATCCATCCGAGAAACCGGTGCAGATGCAGAACTAAAACTGATCACGGCTTGGTCGCCCGCGTTTTCCTTTGCTTTGGTAGTTTGTTTGTTTTTTCCTTTGTGTTCTCATCATCTTAAAATAATTTTCCTTTCTCTCATTTGCCGTTAGGATTATTTTTATTTTGGTTGTACGAAACTCGTTCTAAAATTTCTCGTTATATAATAAAGGGTTTCTAAAGTGCCACCCATTCAGCCATGGCGCTGCACAACACTTTTCGGGGGACTTTGGCCAGACTGTGTTGAGCTGTTTACAGTTTTGAAGGAAATGATGCATCATAATGAACCATATGTAATACTTGGAGCTGCGTTCCCTACCCTTTGCGAGAAGTGCACGGGTTCGTTAACATCCCCTGGTAACGAGTACAGAGAAGATGCAGGAACGGGACCTGCGGTTTTTCGGCCTCATCCGAGAAGACTAGAATGTTTAACCATTTAAAGTTCATTTTATAGCAAAGGCAGGACATTCTCCTCAGTGACTTTAAGACCCTGACTGTTGGTCTGGTCTGAGGCTTGAACCTTCGACTTCCCGCACATCATTCCGGCGCTCTACAACATGAGCTAACCAGGCGAGGGTTTTTTTATATTGTACTTACGGCATAGTTTTCCTGAATAGCCATCGTCACAATTGCATCTTATTGTGCCGTCCTTGTAGTTGGGAATGCATACTCCTTTGTCGCTGCACAGGGAAATGTTCTCTTCACAAGCACTCTATATGGAATAGATTATTTTAGAGAACCTTTTTTCTTTCGTTATTTTCTTGCTGTCTCAAAGAGGAATTTTGTGGAAAATTCTGATAAAAGTAGGAGGTGTTTCGAGTTTTAAACTGTTCATTAATACGGTCAGCTTTGATGACTTCCAGCGAGAGTAACATTTTCGTTTCCCTTAACAAGGACGAAGTTATGACTTGACTAATTCTATACTCGTACTTTATAGTTTGGTGATGGGTAGGAATGTTTGTAAAAATAAGTAGAGGTGCATTTTATTGACTTGTTTAAAGGTTTTTCGACAATTCGGACATTTTCCTACCACGCAAATTTAAGCGACGGGGAACCGTTACTCTTTCCAGCTGTCCCCTAGGATTCCTTCGTTTCATTGGTGAACTATTTTGGATTAACTGTGACAACACCAGCATAAAAAAGTCTGGCGTTTCCACGAAAATATTTTCACAAAACCGACTGCAAAAATATTACCGTCAGTGAGAGTAGAATGAACGGGAGAACCGCTTAGAATAATTCTTAGATAATAAGGGGAGTGTTTCAAATCTTTTAAGAGGCCTAAACGTCACTTTTTTTTATACGTTTTGCATTTTTCCTTGTAATTA